GGGTCTTGCCTCTAGCCTCTTTGCAGGGAGTTCTGCTGAAGGGTTCCCTGCTGGGCCTGCAGCCTGGGTCGAATGAGGATCTGCGGCCCCGAGTAGTCTCTCTCACTCACTTGCCGGGCCTGCGCTCTGAGTCTATTCAGGATCCCGTGGCCCTAGGTCGTCTCACTCACTCGCCGGGCCTGCGCTCCGGGTCTGATCAGGATCCCGCAGCCTGGGTCGTCTCCTTTTGTACCTCACTTTCACGCAGGATGTAGTTATTTGTTGACATGTCTTTGTTGACAGATGACCAAGCCTATATATGTTTACCTTTGTCATTTATATTACTTTTGGAAAGGATCTTGCATCTTTGAAAATTATATGTATAACACACACACATACACACACACACACACAAACACATTTTTTGTGTCTTATATTTATAACATACATCATGTACATTACTAAGTGACCATCAGAATATAAAGAAATCACTATTCAAGATTCTAAGTGGTGGTAGGTTCTCATTAAAAACCATAGGAGTTACAGAATAATTGACCATTGAGTGTTCTGAACATTCTGCTAAGGTATATAATTTATTGGCTCTGACTTGCTTGAAATTAACTGCTTTGAAATTTCCTTAGCTTTTGAAAAAAATTCTGTTCTGTAAATAACTATGTTCTTTAAAGAAAAAAATGTACATCTATAAATTTTTTTCTGTCAATAGCTGTCAGATACAATTGAAAGGAATTCAAAGATTTAAAAATACATTTTTAAAAGGAATAGAATTGTTAAGCAGTGTACTGATGTGATGTTACTTTCCTCAGTAAAAATAATTTTTCATTACATTTTGTTCTATTACATAGAATTAAAATAATGTTTCATTTATTTAATTTTATAGATATAATGGAGAATGGGATCTAGCTCAAAAAGCATTGGAGGATATTATATACCGAGCTCAGCTAGAATTATATCCAGAGCCATTGCTGGTATGTGCCTTACTTATTTACATAAATTTTTGAATAGGACTTTTCAGTTTAGAGATGTAAATTGAGGAGAGCTATTCATAGTACATTAATTCTCAGTGATTTGTATTCCTGGCATGTTTGGAAATTTTAAACTTAAGTGTATATGTGAAATATAGTGTAAACTTTAAACTTTAAAATATAGTCTAAACTTTATTAGAGTCATTTTCTTTTTGTTTTTATTTTTTGATACAAGGACTTACTAGACTTGCTATGTAGTTCAGGTGGCCTTAAAGGCAGTGTAGAGCCCAGACTCTCCTCAACCTCACAGGGATCCTCCTGCCTCAGCCTCCAAAGTGTTGAGATTACGAGCGTGCTCTACCATACCTGGCTTAGACTCACTTCTTAGACACTTGATTGTCTCTTTGACTTATAAAAATGTTCTTCTTAACATATTTTAGTGTACTTTTGAGTCAGCAATGGGTGTTGGGAAACCTAATTTAATATTTTGAAATTTGTAACTTTATCACATACATATTATTTTTATATACAAATGTTCCTCATTTTTTTTTCTTGGTACTGAGGATTGAACTCAGGCACTTATGCCACTGGCCACTGAGCCATCTCCCCAGTGAGATGTTCCTTATTTAATGACTGAGATCCATTTCTAGGACTGAGTTGTTAAATGAATTGCTTGCTAAATGAGGAATTGAATATAATATGTACATTGTAATATTCAGAACACAGGAAAACTCCAACTTGATGACTTTGCTTTTATTTGTATTACTTTTAAATGCAATATTATAATGTATAACAGAACATAAAACTACAGTACTATACTATATTATACAGTACAAGCATTGAAATTATAGTACTGTATAAACAAAATGTTCTGTGAAAAAATATTGAGCCTCTATAAACAAGATGTATAGAACTGTATTGAAAAAATGTACAAATAGCAGGCCTTATCCTAATTCCTTACAGTCATTAAACAGGTAAATGAGGAATATCTGTATAACTTTCCCTGTGAACTTTTTACTTCTTATCTAAAGGAGTTAGTTATACATCATCTTCTGAAGTATTTTAGAAAGAATAATCTTTTTGTAAACCCGTTGACATTGAGCCTCATGTTTTATCTCAGGGTAAAGTAATACCTCTGTTAATGGCAATCTTAAAACTATTTTTTCTTTCTTAGGTTGCAAATGCTATAAAGGCTTCATTGCCTCATGGTGCCATGAAATCTAGTAAGGAAGGCACAAGGTGTATTCAAGTTGAAATCACACCAACTTCCTCTAGAATATCAAGAAATGCAGTAACCAGCATGTCAATAAGAGGTCATAGGTGGAAAAGACATGGTAAGAAATATGTAACTCTTCAAATTAGGGCATTGGTGGCTCTTTCTTGTTTTTCTCTATATTTTTGGTGGTAGAATTTCTAATTGGTGAATACTATAGTAGCCTGGAAGAAAGAGATATGAGATCTAATTTATCATCCAGGAGCAAGAGACAATAAGGAAAATGGAGCCCCTTATCTTACAAATGGAAATGAAAATTTATTTAAAAATTATATTGGCCATCAAGTTTTATTTTATTAGAGTGGTAGAATAGGGAAAAATGCATTTTTAAATTATTGATATGTTTTTGGTATCTATTCTCAAGTGTTTGAAGATAACCCTTAATGAATGTTTCTTATTTCTCAGTTGACTCTTCAGCAGATAAACTTACATACTGAAGTAGAACTAATGGAAACTTTAGACATTTTATCTGGACTTCCTGGTAAAGAATGCCATAGTAGTGATGCGGATGAGGCATTTCTATTTTTCTGAAATTAGTCTTCTTTCAAGATTGTTTGTTTATGTTAATATTCCATCCTGTCTGGTTCATTTTATTATTTTAAATTTTCATTGCAAGTTAATATCATTCACCTTGGCCTTCTCAGTGCTTTCCTGCTTCCCTTCCTTCTCTTTTAATTTATTCTTTATTTAATTTCTTGTTCTTTTTGTAATTTCTTCCTGCCTAGAAATTACTGCAGTGGCAAGAGTCAGTGTAAAAACGAAATTAATATTATCTTCTTCAGAAGGTGACCTTTGGGTTGAGGGAAATAATCATTTCTTTGCCACAAGCAAACAAGGGCATAAGGGGTAAAGCAAAATCTAGTCTCTGTTCTCTTTTTCCTATAAACAGAGGAAATACTAGCTCCTTTTGGTATATTGTCCAGCATTTGGTTTCAGCTGTCTGTGGTCTCTGTGAAGAAAATGAGAAAGTGAGAAGAATGAGTTCTGTATGGTAAAATGGAAAGTTGATGGAAACAGTTGCCTTTTTTTTTTGTTAGCCAGTCTAGGGGGATTATATGTTAAATGGATTAAGAATGAAATCCTTAGTATAGTGTAATTTAGTATAACCTGTATCTTTTTTCTTTTTCTAATTTAGCATAGCCTGTATCTTTTTTTTCTTTTTCTAATTTAGTATAAAAGGGCTGATGTTGTTTGCCATTAGCAAGGCAGATTACATCATTTAAAATATACAAAGTCTAAACATAGTTCAGTTTGTTCAATAAAAGTAATGGTACTGAACAAAGCTAGATTATAGGTAAAAAGTATTTTAATTAGATGTGGTAGTACCCTGAAGATCAGTTTTTCTAGTTTAGTATTAATATGTGAAAATAGGTCCAAAGGCAACAAACCGGATCATTCTGGGGACTGTGGCTATAATTGCTCCCACGTTGCTGCTACAGGAAATACAAGAATAAAATGTAATTTCTTTTCCACTTACCATTCTTGCCATTAGGGAGGACATACTGGGAATGGGGGGCAGGGAGAAATGTAGGTCCTACAGTTAAATATGTATGGAACACATTGATGTTTCTTTGTAATTGTATGTGTATGTGTGTATGTTTGTATGTCTGTACCCTGATGAGATTTAGTAGAAGGAGATAGGAGCTCTATGGTAAAATGGAAGCTATTTTCCAATGCTTTGTAGGGAAGACTTAGCAAAACCAGAGAAAAGACTAGTTGACTCTATAATATTCATTGTATTCCTACCTGTCTTCTAGGTTCCATTTTAACACTTGAGGAGTTAATAGAGTGTACTGTCTCAAGGCTATGACTTATTTTTTTTCTTTTTTATTAATTTTATTGAGAAACAAATAGCAATGAGACAATTTCAAAACTGATTAGTAGGACAGTTTCTATAATTAATACATTGCATGTTGTTGTCTTTGTTGTGGTTATTCATAGAATAAGATGCAGACAGGATATCCTGTCCAAACACTATTAGTACAAATCTTTCTTCTCACTGATTTAAGAGAAAGCAGCTGTATATCTATCCTAACTATTCTGTGTATACAGATACAAAATGGTCCTTCGTTTGTATCCCCCTTTTTTGTTTAGTTTTGTCAGAGATGGGTATTCCATTGTCAAGGCTATGGCTTATTAAAGTAGCCATCTTATTACTTTTTTTCTTTGTGTTTAGTCAGAGTTCACAACTCTGGCACTTGTGGAACTCTTGATTATGATAACAAAAAAGTCATAGATAAAGATATAAAAGGGAATGAGCTATAAAAAACAAGTCACATGCATGATCAGGTAGAGAACATAGTTTAGTCTTGTTTGCCATGTTCTATAGTGTAAATTCCCTTTATCTGGTAGACTGTAAAATATCCCTACTCTAGGAACCCTCTTGTCTGCTTCTACAGACAGGTTGCATTCTCCTTTTGTAGGATAATCTTGGCTTGCTTTCTGTATTATCTGTTTTCAATTCCTATCATAAAATATAATTATAAAGGAGGAAAATTTATGTAGCTCACAGTTTTAGAGTATGAATTGTCCAAAATCAGGCAGTCTTATTTGTTCAGCTTCATGTGAGAGCCCCCTTGGCTGAGCCACACCATAGTAGGAGAAAAAAGACCCTGCTGCATGTAGAAGGGGTCAACTTTGTGGCTTTATAGCACCCCACTCTGAGGAAATAACAGGAATCCTGCATCAGTTACTCCCAGGGGCAGAACCCCCAGTGATCTACACTCTTCCCACTAGGCCACGCCCCTGAAAGCTACCACCACCTCTCATGTCCTCACTAAACTTCCAGCACATGGACCTTAGGGACACACAAACTAAACCGTATCTAATCCATAGCACCTCCCTAGAGCAGTGCTTTTAATAAGTGACCATGTTCTATTGAATTAAAACCTTTTCTATTTTCTATACTTGGATACATTATTGTTCTGGGCTCTCTATCAACAGTGACTACTTATGAGGAACATAGAGATTTTGATATAGTTCTTAAGTTTATAGACAGCTCTCAAATTATAGGTAAGTTTTAAGTTTAATTTTATTTTTATATAAAAATTATTTATTTACATATAAATTATACAAAATAAAATTTAATTACTATATTTCTCTACAAGCAATGTCAATTGTGATTCCAGGGTGACTCACAGTGACCTTTTTATTGGGGGTCTTGAAACATAGAATGCAACTTATGTGTGAACATTTTTTTTAGTGTATTTGGTACAGGGTCTCACTACACAGCTCCAACTCGTAGTGATCCTCCTGTTTCCAGCTTTGCCAGCGCTGGGATTACAGGCACGTGCCACCACAGCCAGGCTCAGTGGCTGGCTCAGTGCACCTGAAGGCAAGGTCAGCACTGCATGTGATGCTGGGGATCGAACCCTGGATGCCTGAACATTTGATGGAACCCCTCCCTCCCCACAGCAAGTCCTCACAGGTGGAGGGCCTCCCTCCAAGCCCTTCACCACGTACACATCAGGGCAAGGAACATGTAATGTACGCCAGTGGTGATAAAGGCTGTGAAAGGAAGCCATCAGGAAGCTTGAACTTTACCACTTTGGCTTTACCTCTTCCACTTCTTGCTTTTTTCTTTGTTCTCCCACTCCTGAGAAAGAAGGAAGCAGGAGGAGGTTTTTTTTTTTTCCTATTGAGGGTCTTCTTTTCTCCTCTTAATTTTATCTTTTTTAAAAAAATATTATTAGGGATGGGGAGATGGCTCAGTAGGATAAGCGCTTTGACTGGCAAACGCAAGGATCTGAGTTCAATCCCTGGTTCCAAAAAAAAAAAAAATTATTGAGAAACAAATAGCAATAAGACAGTTTCAAAACTGATTAATAGGACAGTTTCAATAATTAATACTTTGCACATTGTTGTCTTCTTAGTGGTTACCCATAGTACAAGATGCAGACAGGATATCCTGTCCAAACACTATTAGTACAAATCTTTCTTCTCATTGAATTAAGTGAAAGTAGCTGTATATCTATCCTCACTATTCTGTATATACAGATGCAAAATGGTCCTTCTTTGTATCCCCTTTTTTTGTTTAGTCCTGTCAGAGATGGGTATTCCATTGGCATCTAAATACTATAGGTGTGTGAATTCAACAAAACAATCCAACACAGTCCAGCAGTCCACAATAGTAGTGGTTTATCCACAGAAGTTGTTGACTTGAGCCTTTCACAGCTCAGCATATTAATATGGCTTTACTTTATATACCTCGTTTTTTAACTTTTCTACTGGATGGTTAGGACCAAGATAAAGCAAGACCTATATGACAAGAAATGTAACTTTTATATCTGATAAGTTCAGTCAAGTACCCTCAGGATTTATCCTGTAACCCTATACTGCAGTTTGCAGATCCTTTGTCAGTGTCAGCCATATGGATGAGTCACGGCCATTGCTTGACCAACTTGCTCTGTGTGAAAGCCTGAGAGAATGTTTTCTCTCCATTTGACTCTGTTGACCTTCATTTTTCTCCTCTTTCCCTCATATCTGGGTAGAAGAGGGAATGATGTAAGTGGGATTCGCCCACTGAAGCAGACATCTGGTACTTTTCTCTTTTCATTTTCCCTCTTCTCTCTATCATTGAAGAATACACATAATTAGGCCATATGAGTACTTGCATATCTGCATCATCACAAAGTGTTACATAGCAAACAAATATATTTAATTAGAACATTAATCACATTGATTCTTTTAGTCATTTTTGTAGCCAAAACTCACACTCTGATGTTTCTTTTTTAAAACTATTTATTTATTTATTTGGTTCAGGGTCTCACTATGCAGATCAGACCCAAAGTGATCCTCTTATCTCAGCCTCCCCAGCACTGAGATTACAGGTGTGCACTAGCACACCTGGTTTCTGGGTCGGCACAGTGTGCATGGGGTTCTGGGGTTGGCACAGCGTGCGGTACTGGGGATTGAATTTGGTTCCTTGTGCTTGCCAGGTGGGGGCTTAGACTGCTGAGCTATCTCCCCAGCCATATTCTGATGTTTCTAAATTAATTTTTACTTACTCATACCTTAAAATAGTTTTGAGATATTCTCGAGTATGTTTCAGAATTCATTGAA